TACATAAGTATTTCGGACTCAAAATGTAAGCAACAAAAGATTTGTATGCGATCTAATAGATTTAAAACATTTATTTTAAATGAATGATTGTATTATGAAATTGCATTATAGTGTGAAGAAAGTGCTATAAAAATAACTTTGAATAACTCTTCACATTTACTTATTTTTAGTCAAACGGATGTTCACATTGTTGGCTAGTATCAATTACTAACTGATCATTCATTAAGTCATCAAAACGAAACCTGTTTAAAGCTATAAATAAATCAAAATGATCATGAATTCATGACTTTTCATTGTATATATGAGTGAATTCACTTGAACTTTGAAAATACAAAAGGATAGAAAAGCGTTCTTGTTCGCTTCTGTCGCTTGTTCAATAGTTAAAAATCATATGATTGTCGAATATTCGAAAAAACAAGAATTATTGTTATTGCTCTGTTATCAATAAAACAATTTCAAAACGGTTATAGGAACATTAGTTTGTTGAACTTTCAAATATAGTCTAGTTTATAAAGAAAATGGATCTGAAATTTGTTGATTGTATTGTTTTTATTTGTCTAGATATTGATGAATGTATTGAAAATACAAATATTTGCCAATATATATGTGAAAACCAAATAGGATCTTATCGATGTTATTGTCCAATTGGATTTAAGATAAATAACTTAGGACAATGTCAAGGTTGGTATTTATATTCTTATTTAATTGAATATATTTTTTACATATTTTTAGATATTGATGAATGTCGTCAATTTCAAATTGATTGTGGTCAAGATCGTACATGTTTTAATACTCATGGTGCTTATGAATGTATAGATATTCCATGTCCTGTTGGTTATATTCGTCAAAATGAAAGCGATTGTTTATTAAAATGTTATCAGCGTTCATCCTCATGTCGTCCTCGTCAAGCTATTTATATTCGTCATAGATTTATTGCTGTTCCACGATTAACACTATCAAATCGAACATTATTTAGTTTACCTATAACTTATCGAAATAAAAGTTCAATAACAATAATCGATAAAAATCATATGAATATCTCTTTTCCTTTTATACTTGATGGTAGTGATCTAAAAACAAATCGAACATTAATTGAACCAAATGAATATGAGTTCGAAATACATTTATATAATACTGAATTAAATGGTAAACATGTAGCTCATCATCGTCGTCGCTTACATACAATATTTGTAATACGAATTAATATTTCACCGTTTCATTTTTGAATAAATTTTTTATTTCAACAATTATTATTAGACGAACGCAATAAATACATCAAAAATTAGATATTATTGTGTATGAGCTTCTTTTCACTCTTTTATAGTTAATGAACTTGCATACGCGCAAACAAATATAAGATGTTTTATTCTATTTTGCTTTTGTTTGGTTTTTCTCAATATGATTTTTCTTTGTTTTTTTTCTCAATATTTTTTTTCTTTTGGTTTTTTATTCACAAATGACGATTAAATTCTCCATCTAAAAAGTTGTCCAATGCTTCTTCAATTTTTTCTTTGGTTTCATCGGTTAATTCAACTGGAGATGATTGTTCAACTTTTCGTTGATAATTTTGTTCAATGCTAAGTAAAATAGGTGCTGCTATAGTCTCAACATCATCATTACCCAATTTGTCTGCCACATTGTTAAATATTATATCCACTGCATGACGTGGAATTACTGTAAATGATGTTGGATGTTTCATTAAAACTTGTAATATACCATGAACAAGATAATCAGTATCAGAATTGATTAGGTATGAATAACGCTTGACTGTTTTTTCAGCTCTATGAAAAGCTTGAGCTAATGAAATATTTTCAGGTTTTTCACTTGACAATGTCTGTTTAACAGGATTAGTTAAGACAAGACCAACGATGCTTAATAAAGCAATAACGTATGATGAAAACATCAGCATTCTAAAAACAATATATGATTCACACTATGTTAATATCAAAATAAATATTAAATATAAAGAAAGAAAAATTAAATATACTCAGTCAGACAATAAAAGCACATTTTACGTCGAAAAACAAAATTTTTATTTTTGTATAAAGCAAGTTCGAAGGCGTCGCCCTCTTCAGATTTGCTTTCTTTTCCAAAAAAAAAAAACAAAGTTTCTTTTTCTTTTGAAAACGTAAAAAGTGTAAATTTTGACACGTACAAAGACGTTTTATTTACCGATTTCGAGTTGCTAGGTGTGCGTGGGAGACACTCGTATCCATCAGAAGTACTTTGAAATAAAAAGTAGGAAGGCAAACACACCTCCGAACAGTTTTTTTCTATATTTAGTAAGTCATGAACATAAAGGAAATGAATGTTTATATTCACACAAATGTTAATCAGTCAACTAGTAGTTTTGTATTTTAAGTATCATTCAATTGGAGTATGTCTAACGGGAAAAGTGCACATGAAGTTTTTTCTTCTTGAAATTGATATCGAGTGCTTCTTGTTTATATAGTGAATCAGGATTTATATCATCAAACACAATGAATGGATGTCATCTTATTTCTTTTTTCTTTCTTTTGGTAACAATTGGCAGATATCAAATTATTCAGAAATGATTATGTTCTGTTTAAAGAAACAATGTAAATGCTTATCAAATAAATTAAGAAAATAGAAACAAAATCTTCCTATGCAAGAACATTATTCAAAACTCATAAACTCTTGAACAAATAAAGAATTATTCATCGTACCTGTGCGCAATAACTGATTTGTTTCTAATAAATCGTTGAGTAAATGATATGGTGTAAGAGTAGGACTAAATGAATTTATATATATATATTCAACTTCAAGAAAGACTGAATCTTCAGAGTAAAAGAATGTTTGTCGAATTCAACCAATTAAACTATAAGTTCTTTCTCTTTTCCTTCTTCTTTCCATCTCTCTCTTTCGCTCTTTCTGGCTTTTTTTTGTTAAAATTTTTATTTTTCTCTTTCATTTGTTTTCTTTCTATATAATACGATGACGTAAAATATAAGATAAGATCAAAAAAAAAAACATTTATGCATAGAATTAAATATTGAATTCATGCATATATTAACTATTCTAGCTGATGTGCGCAGAATTTCCATAAAAATGCATGAGTATATATGAAAATTCTCTTTTGTTAAGAAAACAAATAAACCTCTGAAGTGTTGTCTGTAAATCATAGAAATTGAAAATAGATTTCAAGTGAAGTCAATTACGTCGATCTATGTCATGCACATCAAATACCATAGGTGATAATGCTTTTGATATGTGAGCTGATAGCTAGTAAAAAACACCTACATGCATTTGCGTTCATTTGTTGACAACTACTAGTTGTCATATTATTCTTATCACTTGTTAACTGGATCTTTTTTTGATAAGTATGATTTATAAGTTTATTACTTTTTTTTGACATCAAGAAAAAAGACACATTAATCGCAATAGAGTTCTCGTCATTTACATATCTATACAAAGTTAAGATATCCCCGATCGAATACAAAAACATTTAAAGCAAAATGAGCAAAAAAAAACGGATTTCTTTCTTTTGTCGTTTTTTAATAATTAAAATAATTCTTTTTTATAAGCAAATCCATATTGACGACATTTTGTTGTTAGTTCAGCTGATAATGATGGTGGTCCACAATAAAATACAGATATTTTGCCTTTCTTTTGACATAATAATTCAGTAAAAACCTTAAAAAGAAAAGAAAAGGAAAATATAATATTAATATGTTTTATTTTTATCATCATAATTATATGCAATTCTTCATGCATTATATTCAAGGTCGTCGTACCCTTAGAAAATATTTTTACAAATGTATAGATGGTCTATAAAATATTGATACTATAAAAGGAGAATGAAAAATAGATATTGACATCATCTAAAGAACTCTTAGTAAAAAGGAACAAAAGCGGAAATCGATTAAACATGAATGGAGTGACGATAGAACAAGTTTGTGATATTTTTACATTGATAATTAAACGTCAATTTGTATACGTAAATAAATGGCGAACATTCTTCGAAGAAAAGTCATACGACAAAAGCAGACACACATCGACTTGACACGTGTTCTATCAACTAATGCGACAACATTTCAACTTATAGATAGATAAATTATATGGTAGATTTATTTTTAACGCCATGAAAACTTTTTTTTTCTATATAGTAGATTCATATTCAGATCACAGGCCACAATATAAATATTTGTAATTTACATCAATTTTTTCATGGAAAAATTCTGTAGGAAAAAAAAAACTTTTGATTCTTATTAATTATTTTTATTCGAACGCATATAACGGTAAAATAAGCGAAAGTTCAATGAAATTTGAGAGTGTTACATTTGAAGGCAATATATTTTGTATTCTTTGAATTGTTATTGTTTTGAATAATATATTGAATTTTATTGACACACATATGTCATCAGTTCATGGAATATATACACATTCATTCATTAATATTTATAATATATAAAGAAGAAAGTCATCACGACTCTCAAAGTAGTAAAAACTATTGAAACCTATAGACCGATTTTACACAACTAATTAGTAAATGAAAATCTACTATGCACAATTACCTAAATTTTTTTGCAACTATAAAAAGATATGGTTAATGTACCCAGTGATATATTTGCTAAAGACTATGTTTTTCGTCTTATTTTGTTTCTCTTCGTTTGAATAAATAACTGATTTCATAATCAATTAATGAATTCTATATATTTTAATAGTACTATTCCTTGATATGTTTGGTCTTGACTGTTTATGCTCACTTAAGATAAGAAATTTATTAGTTTGATAGAAAACAGAACTAAAATAAAAACCATTTTTTTTTTCGTACTTGATCCCAATCAGGTCGACCATGTTTCGTTCGTTGTCGAATTCCATCAATAGCATCACAATTAGCTGAATTTTCTCTTCCAATTAAATCAAGTGATAAATATATATTCAATGCTTTTAAATCTGCTTGTGATTGTGCACTTGTTACATATAAATGAACTTCAAGTAAAGAACCTTTATCAGAATTTTGTCTTAAACGTTGTTGTTCAATTTCCATTTGTGCCAATAAACTAATAAACCATTCAAGTGAACGTTGTTCACGTGTTACCCAAATAAAATCGACCTTGAAAATTTATATTCAATTATGATAAGAGGAAAAAGAAAGAATATGAATTGATTTTTACTTTTTTCAAACAAAGTTCTTCACTTTCAGGATTATCCCAAATATATTCACAATTTGGACATTTATGTCGACGATTTCGATAACGACACATTATACTTTGTAAAATTGAGGCGAATGGTGTTATACCAATACCAGCAGCTATTAAAACAGCATGTTCAGCTTCAAATATATGTTGAGATGGTGCACCATATGGACCATCAATTAAAACCTATATAATAATTTTACTTTTTGTTTTTCTTTTTTCTTGAATAAAAAAAAAAAAAAGGAATAAAATTATTTCATTTACTTGTAAATCTTCTCGATCATTGAATTGAAGTGAATTAAATTGGATTCGATTATGACTTTTATACATACGTAAATAACCCAATGCATCAGATAAACGTGTTTCATGCAATTCAATTTGTTGTTGTTCACGACAAATTGTTGATGTATTTGCTATTCTTATACAATAATCACCATTAGCTGGTGCAGTTAGTCGATGATTACTATTATTATTATTATTATTTTTAATAGCTGGTTTAAGTATTGTTATTGTTTTTATTTGTTGTTCAGTTGATTTGATATCATCTTTTTCATAAGCTAATTTTTCAATATCTTCAACTGTCATATTTTCAAGTTCATGTGGATTCATTAGAATTGATTTATCAATTGTATGTATATTTGAAGAATTTACTTCTGTAATTATAGAATGATTTTTATCAATTGAATTTAATTGTATATCATGTAAACCAAATGTTGATTGACATGATGAACATATTATTTTCTTTTGATTTTTTCCTGTTGGAAATGATATTGAAATAGATTTTGGTTGAATAGAATGAGTTTCTATTGTTGAACAATTAGATGAATGATTAGAATTATCATTATTTTTATTTTTATCATTATTATTATTAAGATCAATGGAAGAATTAATTTCTTGTTGATGTATACCACGTAATTCATCAATATAACTTTTTGACATACGTGAACGCATTGATGAACGAAGACGTAAATCATTAAAATCATTTAACATACCACCATGTTTTTCAATTAATTTCCTTCGAAATAATTCATACACACGTCGTGTCCAATGACCATTTACATGAACATGAAGCCAAAGACTTTCTAAATCATAACGATAGTTTTTAGTGTTAATTAATTAAATCATTGATAGAATAATTAAAAATTCTAAGAATAACAAAGACAAATGGTCTTAATATGTTCTCCAAAGATTAAAGATAATTTCAAGAAGTAAATATATTAAAAATTTAATGAACTCTTAATAGTATCTTCTAAGTATAATAGTCTTTTAAAAAATAAAAGAGACTTCAAAGTACTTAATAATGATTTATTCATTAGAAAAAAAACTACTTTAATGTAATGTTTTTTTTGTTTTCAGTATAAATAATTGAATATATTCCTTTCCTTTTAACGAAAACAAAAAGAAACGTAGTTCTATTCAATTTTTTTAAGAACAATATTTTAAAACACTTCAAAGTTCATATTAGATACGTAACTCATCGTATTCAGCTTAACATAAACGATAAATCTTTCTAAAAACTATGTCGCATTTTAAAATTTGATCAAAATTCAAATTTACGAAGAAATAGCAACGATTTCAGTCTTGAAGCTTACAACTTTCATAAAGTCTTTAAAACAGAGCTCGATACAGGACAGTAAGAATCTTTATTTTGACTTTCAATCATCAAAATATTGTTACTTTATTAGATATATTGAAGTTAATTTATTTTTTATTATTTTCAAATACAACAACTAAAGTTTTCAATAATGCT